ATTAAAGGCGTGTGCCACCAACACCCAGCAGCTACTAGCTAATTCTTATATTTTCAGTTAACCCATATTGTATCTATGCTTTGCCATGTGGCTTAGAACCTTTTCTCTCTGAGTCTGCTCACCACTCCTCCCTCACTGCCTTCTTCCCCTCAGCATTCTCAGTTTGACTTTCCTACCTAATCTTATCCTGTCTAGCTATTGGCCAGCCAACTTCTTTATTAAACCAATCACAGCAAAGTATATTCACACAGTATAAAGGAATATTAAAGAAGAAAAGTTATATTATTGTGTGTTGTATGTACATGTTCCTGTGGGTGTGTCCATGTGTGTGAGTGTGGATGTAGAGGTCAGAGGTTGATGTTCAGTATCTTTCTTGAGTTTTTGAGTCTCTCACTAATCCTGGAGCTCCCCAATTGGCTAGGCTGGCTAGCTGGATCTACTTCGCTCTGCGTCCTCCTCCCCCTGTCTTAGTCATTGTTCTATTGCTGTAAAGAGACACCATGACCAAGGCAAGGCTCATGAATGAAAGCATTTAACTGGGGGGTTGCTTACAGTTTCAGAGGCTTAGCCCATGACCATCATGGTGGGAAGCTTGGTGGCACACATGGTACTGGAACAATAGCTGAACAGAACTGCATTCTGGTGTGCAGGCTGCTTGGGGATGGGGTTGGCATGGACTTTTGAAACCTCAAAGCTCACCTGTAGTGACACACTTCCTTTACAAGGCCACACCTCCTGATCCTTCTAATCCTGTCATAGTTCCACTCCCCGCATTGAAAAATATGAGTTTATGCGGGCCATTTTAATTCACACCACCACCCCCCACCTCATGCTGAGATTACACTTTAGTGCCTGGCTTTCCTTCCCCCAAAGTGAATACTGAGGACCCAAACTCAGGTCTTCATACTTGTGGGGCAAGCATGTTGCCAATCATGCCAGCCCTGTGTAATTTTATTCTTTTTCTTCGAACCAGGTCTTCCTATTCTACTCCAAGCATGTTGCCAATCATGCCAGCCCTGTGTAATTTTATTCTTTTTCTTTGAACCAGGTCTTCCTATTCTACTCTTCTTTCTTTCTTTCTTTCTTTCTTTCTTTCTTTCTTTTTTTTTTTTTTTTTTTTGGCTTTTTTGAGACAGGGTTTCTCTGTGTAGCCTTTTTTTGGAGACTGTTCTAGAACTCACTCTGTAGACCAGATTGGCCTTGAACTCACAGAGGTCCACCTGCCTCTGCCTCCTGAGTGCTGGGATTAAAGGCGTGTGCCACCACTGCTCAGCCCTATTCTACTCTTACAGCCTAGTTTGGACCATTAACACTCAACATGGGAGGCATGAAGTGCATTGCAGCCAGAGCCCTAGTCCCTCTGGCATCCTGGCTCCCTCCCTGACAGTGCTGTCCACTGGGGCATGCATCTCTTGCAGGAATTTCGGCTGCTCATGGCCAGCACCTCAGCCTGCTACCAGCTCTTCCCCCAGAAGCAGAAGGAAGGCCACGGAGAGGCCATTATGTTCAAGGGTGAGTGTCTTAGTTAGGGGTTTTGTTGCTGTGAAGAGACACCATGACTACATTCTGGTGTAAAGAATGTAAAGACTACATTCTTCATGTAAAGAAAATATTTAATTGGGGTGGCTCGCTTACACTTTCAGAGGTTCATGAAGGGGAGCATGGCGACATGCAGGCAGACATGGTGCTGCCGAAGTAGCTGAGAGCTTACATCTTGCAGGCAACAGGAAGTGACTGAGTGAGACACTGGGCAGTATCTTGAGCATAGGAAACCTCAAAGCGGCACCCCCCCCCGACGGTGACACACTTCCTCCAACAACACCCTACCCACTCCAACAAAGCCACATCTCCTAATGGAGCCACTCCCTATGAGATTATGCGGGCCAATTATGTTCACACTGCCACAGTGAGTGATCATAGGCCCTCAGCCAGAAGCCCCAGGAGGCCCTCAATAGGCCCTTGTCTCTGAGCACCTAACTCTACCACCAAAACTCACATATGGCTGGGACTGCAGAATTAATAGAGTGTTTGCGTAACATGCACAAAGTCCTGGGTTCAAATCCCAGCCGTGGTTGTACTCACCTACAATCCTAGTTCTCCAGAGGTGGAGGCAGAAGGGTCTTAACATCAAGGTCATCCCAAAATGGAGAAGGGTAAAGTATATCTTCAGAACTAATACTTGAAAGGTACCAAACCTAGAGAGGAACTCAAGGACCCCAAGCTGCCTTGTGATGTGCACCCAGGAGCTTGTGCTTTCACAACAGTGGGATGGAAGCCTGCACCTCCCTCCATGGTCATCTCGGGGAGAGAAACAGTGCTAATACAGGGGCACAGGAAGGGAAGTGGTTTCAGCTGACATCGTGCCTACAGGGCCTGGAGTGAGACTCCATCTCCCTCCAAAGTGGGGCAGGCCTGGGGATGAGTTTTGCCCTTGAATTAATCATAAGAAAGAGAATCGGCTAGGGAAACCAGCCAGCCAACAGGTTGAAAGAGGCCACGGCACTTTCTTACCGTGGTAAAATAGACACAGCCTCACCACTTAGAATCCAACATATTACAGCATTGAACAATAACCTCTACTATCTCTGTCCCATTTGGCATTTCTTTTCTTAAATTACCTTTTTGCCTCATCTTAGGCTAGTATCCTGACACTCAAAGTGTTTGGTCTTAGGGGCGCACAAAATAATGGGGGACAGACCACTAAAGCCTAGATACCAGAAACAAACTTTATTCCAATCACACGGAGCACAAAAAACTTCCAGTACACTGGGACCACAGGTCAGAGTTCAGGCTTCTGACACTGTGGCAATGGGGGCTGGTTTGGGGCCTCTTTTTATAGTAAAACCAAGCACCAGGTGTGGATGACAGAGCTTTTACAACCTTGAGGTCAGGCTTACAGTCACATTACATTTTAAGTGTTACAACTTTTGGTTATAGGATGTTAGGATGTTAATTTAGGATGTTTGCAGAAAGCCTGTGGCTGATACAGCAACTTTTCACTGTCCCTGAAAGAATGCAAAGCAGAGTGTAGAGTCACATAGGAGAACAGTTAAAATTAAGGGAATGCAATGCAGAGGGTCTCTTAGAGGCAATAGTTAGAACCCAACCTTTGTCTGCAGTACCTAACTAGCTGGGAGGCCAGGCGGTGGTGGCGCACACCTTTAATCCTAGCACTTGGGCAGGTGGATCTCTGTGAGTTCAGGACCAACCTGGTCCACAAGAGCTAGTTCCAGCACAGCCTCCAAAGCCACAGAGAAACCCTGTCTCGAAAAAAAAAAATTTACCTGTGTGCACAGCGGCTGCCAGGATGCCTGCTCCTAAGGCAGAAAGCTGTTGCTCAAGGTTAACAGTGACTGTTAGCTTTACTCTTTTTCCAAAACGTGTTTGGAAAACACAGTTTTATATTTCTTTTTCCTGGACCCTTCAAAAGTCCTCCTTGTCTAAGGAGTGTGACTGAGTGTTGCTGGTGTCGGGAACAGACCCACTTAAGATCACTGTCCCTTTTGTGCCTGCGACCTGATGGCAAGTCTGCCCTGGGTTGCCAGGCATGGGGCTTGGCTTTCTAGGATCTTCCTTTCCATCTAAAACTTGCCTCAAATGCTGCCCCCCACTCCCCATGCTTAGAGATTCCAATACAGGTGAGTGTGGTGTGGCGGCAGCTCAGGGGCAGGCTTCCATAGCTCTGATCTCTTTGGTGCTGTGGTGCCACAAGGCTGGAACATGCAAAGAGCAGGCAGGCTCTTCCTAGATCAAACAAAAGTCAAATGTAAGAGGTCTTAGCCTTTGGGAGGCTGAGGCGAGATTGTGGGTTCTGGGCCAAACTACACTTAATCAAATATATGAGGTTCACACCAGGCAGTGGTGTATACCTTTAATCCCAGCACTCTGGAAACAGAGGCAGGTGGATCTCTCTGAATTTGAGACCAGCCAGGGCTACACAGAGAAACCCTATCCTTTTTGTTTTGTTTTGTTTTGTTTTGTTGATGCAGGATTTCTCTGTGGCTTTGGAGGCTGTCCTGGAACTTGCTCCGTATACCAGGCTGGCCTTGAACTCACAGAGATCCGCCTACCTCTGCCTCCCCAGTGCTGGGATTAAAGGCGTACACCACCAACGCCGGGCTGAGAAACCAGCAGTGGTGGTGCACATTCCTGCAATCAGGTTATGTATGTGGCTACTAGAATAGTTTCCTCACCTTTAAAAGTAGCAGTTACCTCCCACAGGGTCACAGTGACAGGGGAGGGCCTACGAATCCACATTAAATTTTCAAAACAATGCTGTCTTGGCTGGGAGATGTGGTTCTATGGCAGAATGCTTATCTAGCATATATGAGGTCCTGGATTCCATTCCTAGCAGTGGAACCAAAGAACAGATGTCAGGCGCTTGGGTGTCACTAAAGTTTCTGGGCTGTAGAGCTGGAGTCAAAGGCAGGCTCTCTCCAGTTATTTAATCAGCTACTAACATTCTAATGGGGACCCAGGTATCTGCTCCTCTGCCAGAGAGAACAGCATGTCCACACCTGCTTCCTGGCTCAGGGGACATGGTGGATATGGAGAGAGGAATGTGTCCTCCTTCTCTGGATAGAAGGAGACCACCCCACCCTTCCACCCCACCCCATCCCTGCCGACAGGTAAGCTAAAATATCCTGTCATTCTCTGACCCCCACAGGCCTTGGGGGCATGAGCAGCAAACGCATTACCATCAACAAGATCCTGTCCAATGAGAGCCTCACGCAGGAAAACCAGTACTTCCAGGTGTGTGTGGGCTGGTGATGCTGGTTCGATGAAGAAAGGTCAGGGGGCTTGGGGCTTCTGATCCAGAGGGGCCTCCACAAGCACCAGATGGATCTGCTTGCTGTGCAGGTTCTCTGCCATGCTGACAGAGACAGAGGGTTCAAGGCACTGAGAGCCCAGCAGGAGACTTGGGATAACTTGGGAAAGTAGCATGGACTGTGTGGACATCACGCAGTTTGTCAGGTACATCAGACAAGCTTGGCTGCTAGCAATCTTCTAATGTAAAGTTTAAGTTGTGGGGCTAGCCTAAGATGGTTTATGGAGGTAGCTAGACTAGCAGGCATTAGCAGGAGTCTAGTGTTTTCTGTTCATTTGGAGCTGGGTCTCAGGCCATTAAGGCAGGCACAGGTGCAGAGCACCGTTGTTCTATTGGACACTCCCTTAAAACTCACCAAAGCTTCATTCAGGCTTGCCGTCCAGGACAGTGCCAGCCTGAGCCCACACTTCACTTTGGAGCTTCAGCAGTTCACATCCCTGAAGGCTTTAATCCTGGTGTGACAGACACTCTGAGTGCCTGAGCCTTAAGAGTTGACCCAGAAATAGAACCCAGAGCCAGAGACCTAGCTCTGTTGGTAGAGCACTTGCCTTGTACGACGGAAAGCCTTGGATTCTATCCCCAGCACCGTATAAGCTGGGTTACGATGACCTGTAAACCAGAGGCAGGTGGATCTCTGTGAGTTCAACGCCAGCCTGGTCTGCAGATCAAGTTCCAAGACAGCCAGGACGACACAGAGAAACCATGTCTCAAAAACAAAAAAAAACAACAAAAAAAAAGAGTGCAAGGTGTTAGATTTCTGAGGCAGTTTAAAGGGGCAGGAAATAGACTGGAGACTGGCAGACAGTGAGGGGAAGGGATGTCTGCTGAAGGGGATGCCTGGGGATTATATAGGAGGTTTGAGGAGCAGGGAGTTAAACACAGACAAGGGGGGTTTTACCTTTAGAATCTGTCTTGCCTTTGCCATCAGGATGTGGGTCATAGTGGGCATCTGAGTTGGGCAATGGGTGTGCGATGAAGGGCTGGGGTTTCCACGCAGGGCCTTGGTCAGGGTTGGGCAGAGTTTGTTTAAACTTTATTCCGACAGAAAACCCTGCAGTTGTGTGGATCTCAGGCACAGGCTGATCAGGGCTCTGGCTCTTCTAGCTCTGTGTTCGTTGGTTATATGCAGGTGCCCTCATAGCTATAGAAGTTCGAAGCCTCACATAAACACTGCACACCATCCATGAAGACTTACATGTCCTACAGCATTTGAACAAGAGTTTGGTCTCACTCTGACTCGGGTCAGCCTGAACTGACCACTGTGGACAGAGTGTTTCTAAGTACTAGTGTGCTTAATGCTGAGTCACTGATCACTCCTGGTCTAACCACTGGGGTGAGAGAAAGGCCCACCAATCATCTCTCACCTGAAGGTGGGAGAATCAACCCAGTGGGGGTTTGTACCACTGCAGTGGGGGGTGGAGGAGCATGACAGGACAACAGAGTCCCAGGGGAGCTACACAGGACCCACTGAAGCCAACATCTCATTGGCTACGTGGGTGGTGACTTCTGACTATCCATCCCTCCATGATCCCTGTGAGAAACACACACACACACACACACACACACACACACACACACACACACACACACACACACACACACACACTGTAATAAGAGCTCTGGAGGCACAGAGCATCAGAAGCCGGGCAGTTTATCTTACAGCTTTGCAAAGCCCATGGGGCAGGTTCAATGACAGACAGCAGAGAGAGAGCATTTAAACCCTAAGGCCAGCCCCTCCTCGCTCTTCTCATTAGCTGAGTAATCTGGGGCACAACCCTACAGGGTCACCTGAGTCTCTACCACTTAAGTTTGTCTGGCTTTCGGCAAGGACTGTGCAGGCTTCAGTCTCTGTTTTACACCCTGTCTATTTTACAGTTTGTCAGTTACATGACTGTCATGTCTGCTGGTTGTTAGGCAAGCTCAGCTGCTAGCTTATTTCTACTGTGAAGTTTAAGGGGCAGATAGGCTAATAGAGCTTTGGGGGTTGCTAGACTAGCAGTTATTAGCAGGAGTCTAGTGTTTTCTGTTCATTGGTATCTGGGTCTCAAGCCATTTTTGAACCCATTAAGGCGGGCATAATGGTGCACGCTTGTAATCCAAACACCTGAAGAGGCAGTCAGATCTCTGTGAATTCAAAGGCAGTCTGGTCTACAAAAAGACATTCAGGATAGCTCTGGCTACATAGAGACCCCCCCCCCCCCCCTCCCCTCCCCCCTCCTCCCCTCACCCCTCACCCCCTCTGCCCACACACACACACACACACACACACACACACACACACACACACACACACACAAATTACTACTTGTCCCTTAGCCCTGGTAGAGAAATGCTAGAGAGATGACAGGGACACCAGCTAAGCAGGAGTCTCTCTGGAATGTAAGCTAAGTGACAGGTGTGTGACCGCTGACCGCCACACCACCTCTTTCCCTTTCCCCCAGCGCTGCCTGGATTGGAACCGTGACATCCTCAAGAAGGAGCTGGCACTGACTGAGAAGGACATCATTGACCTGCCCGCACTGTTCAAGATGGATGAAGACCGCCAGGCCAGGGCTTTCTTCCCTAACATGGTGAGGCCCTCCAGCCCCAGCCCCTCCTGCTACAGCCAGCAGGGTGCAGCCAGCTCCAGAATGGCAGCTCAGTTGCTGTGTGACCTCACCTCTGGCACTTGCCCTCTCTGACATCCTCCATTCCCAGCTTGTGGGGGTGGGGGGAGTATGTTTAACCTTGCTTTCTCACTAAGTGTCCCCAGACCCTTTCCTTTAACAAATAGACAAGTGTGTTGCAAAAGGTCACAGCGCAAACCAGGCTTAGCTCAATCCGAACCTCTGTTTCCCCACTTCTGAAGGAGGACCCTGCTAACACTTCCTTATTAGGACAGTAACAGGGATCTGACAGCTTGACACTGGAGGCAGACGGTGGCTGCTCCCAAAACACTCACTCCTCTCCCAGGTGAACATGATTGTGCTGGACAAGGACCTGGGCATCCCCAAGCCTTTCGGGCCCCAGGTGGAGGAGGAGTGCTGCCTGGAGACACACGTTCGAAGCCTCCTTGAGCCCCTGGGTCTTGCCTGCACGTTCATCGACGACATCTCTGCCTACCACAAGTTCCTGGGAGAGGTGCACTGTGGTACCAACGTCCGCAGGAAGCCCTTCACCTTTAAGTGGTGGCACATGGTGCCCTGACTGGCAAGGGCCTTGGCCCTTCCTCCTCCCCTGTAATCTCCAGGCCCTTCCTGTGCTCCCCCCAAGTCCTTCCCTTTCAAGAAGTGGGTGGGATTGGGGGTACTTGTGCCTTGCTGTCCTTGGATAAGGGCCTCAATGTCCACTGCAGTCACCCTTGGTAAGCCTAACCATCCCCCCTGAAAATAGATGGACACACGGCTAGTGTGCAGAGCTCTGGCAGGGAAAACCAGACTTCCAGAAATCATGTAGTCAGACTGGCCCTCAAGAATTCTCAGCCTCTATTCTAGATCAGAATGAAGGCAGAAAGAAAGGAGGCTCTGAGATCGTTGGCTCTTCCAGCACCATGATGGAACTGATGTTCAAGACAGACAACAAGGACAGGGTCCAGGGTCCTGGTAAACCCTGAACAGCACCATCATTTCACATTTGCCTCCCTCGGGGCCTCCTGGGGGCTCCCTCCAACATTCATTCCTTGCATCCTTCACCCTCTCCTATCTTCCTGTACACAGAGTCCCCACTCCCTGAGGGTCCAATCTTTCCACCTAGAATCTTCTGGAAATAGTTCTTCACTTGCTGTGGATACAGGCTGCCCAAATTTGGGGGGGGGGGGCTCTCTCCACTGAATTGCCTCCGTGGTCCAAAGTACAGTATGTAAAGATGCCCTCACCACTCAGCGCTACTCCTCTTCTCTTGCCCGGTCCTCAATTCTCTAGCCAGTCCATGGGCCCCTCTTCCCACCATTCTCTCTGTTCTGGACACTGTCCCCTCCAGACGGCTACATAGTTTCTTTACCACCAGCCAGATTTGGGCCTCCCTCAGAGCCTGAGAAATAACCTGCGCCTCCTCTTGGAGATTGGCCACAAGGTCCAAGGATGCTGGTCAGGCTCCAGTGCTGTCAGTCGGTTCTCAGCCAGCTACTGCTCTGGAGGTGGGATTCCCCAGCACACTTTCCAAAGTCCTTCCATCCGGATACAGACAAAATGCATCCCCTCTGCTTCAGTTAGAAACCCCCAGGAGCTGGAGAACTCCACAATTAGGAGAGCTTGCGGCTCTTGAAAAGGACCTAAGTTTGGTTCCCACCACCCACAACTGTAACTCCAAATCCAATGGAGCCAATACCTTTTCTGGCTCCTGAGGGCACTGTATCCATGTGCATATATCCATAGACATACTCAAAAGATAAATTTTTTAAGGTCTGTAGAGATGACCCAGTGGTTAAGATCACTTGCTGCTCTTACAGAGGACCTGGGTTCAGTTCTTAGTACCCACATGGTGGCTCACAACCATCTATAACTCTAGTTCCAGGGGATCTAATGCCCTCACACACACACACACACACACACACACACACACACACACACACACGTAAATAATATTTAAAAAAACACACACACACACACACACACACACACACACACGTAAATAATATTTAAATTTAAATAAAATATTTAAATAATATTTAAATTTAAATAAAATATTTAAATAAAGAAGGTCCTTTAGGACCAGGAATATGGGAAATATTATTCTACTTTGAAGGGTTAAACCATTTTATAACAGAAGAAAGGGTTACAGTCTTGCATTCTTGGGGGAACAGATTTTTACCTTGGAATATTGCCTCAGCTGTGCAGTCAGCATGGATTTCATGCTATTGAGCAACAGGCAGAGACTTGGGCTCTGACAACACAAGCTAGCCATAGACTTGGCTTGTCCCCGACAGACAAAATCCACATTTAAACCCTTTGCCCTTGCTGTGGTGGGCTCTTTAGAAATATTACCTAGCATATTGAAAAGGCACCCAGGACCTCAGTCACTGCCTTAAAGAAATAAGGGTGCTTTCTGTAAACAGATTCTCTACCCCCAACTTTCCATCCATCTGGGCTTACAGCTCCATGCTAGGTCAGGCCACAGAGCCTCCAAAGCTGTCACCCTCTGCTCTTGGGACAGTGGTCCCTGCCCTTGAGGGTAAAGCTCAAATCCTGTCTCAGGCTCCAGAGCAGAAAACACGTGCATTTCTCTGAGGGAGCTGGTGTGGGGATGTGGAGTTTTTCATGTGTGGTGTTCGGTTAGAGCGGCTTTGTGGCTTTTCTTTTTATCTGTGTTAAGGGGAAGTGAGTGCCTCCCTCACAGAGGCCGCTTGTCTTTGTAGATTGTGCTATGATTCTCCCTGGCAGTGTTGGTTGTTTCAGAAATTGGAACTCCAGGACACTGCCTGTCCCATCACACTTACCCACCCCGTGTGGCTCCGCCCAGTGTGACTCCCCTCGGTGTGACTCAGTGTGATGCCCCCCAGAGTGATGCCCCCTGTGGACCCCTGGCTCTTCCCCAACCCCGCTTTCTGTAACTTAGGCCTAGATGCTTCTGGGCTGTACCAGTTCCTGTTTCAGTGTCGATTTTGAAATCCTCTGTAAAGGGCAGAAGGATGGCACGAAGATGGAGAGAACCAGGCAGTTTCAACTTCCTGGAGAAGAAGCCAAGATGGAGACTGAAAAGTGTTTGGGGGAAGAGACAAAATAAAGAGCAATAAAATGAACCATCCATGGCTCTGGGTGTGCTATTCCTTTTAACTTTCTAGACATGATAACAAGTGATCTGGATCACATGTGGCCCCTCGTGGTCATGAAACTCCCACAGTTCAGGTCCATGTGTCACATGGACACTACCCAAGGTCACAGCCAACATCCACAGTGATGTAATCATATTTTAAAGGTGAGTTCCTTAGATGCAGACAGTGAGATGAGCATTTGGGAGCCAATGACTTGGGAGGAAAGTGCCTCCAGGAGAAATGGGCCCAGGAACTGGGGGAACTGGGGGGGACCGAATAATTCTGTTATGGAATATTTTCGGGCCCAGTCTCTAGCTCCAGTAAACATGGAGCACCGGAAAGCTCCAGCTGACTATTGTTAATGTCAGTAGGGCTACTTTTGTTTACCATGGCCTCGGGGTAATATGCCTCCTTATTTGCATATCTATACACCTAAGCATCTGAATAGGCCTGCACCTGCACAGGGAGATCAGAGGTGTGTGAGGATGGAAGGTTAGGAGTGAAGGGGCGAGCAGCCAGAGCAGAGAGGGAACAAAGAGGGATGATTCCCTCGTGGTATTGGCAGGACAGTTAAGAAACACCAGAAAAGATGGCTAATAAAGAAATGACTCTACTTCCACAACATGGAACTGAGAGCTCTCTGAAGATAACAAGATTCCTGTGTTTGATCTTTATCGCCGTTGGTTTGCTGGGAGCTTCCAGATCCACACACCCCCACTCAGGCCGAACCTCAAGGCTGTTGTGGGTTAAAGCTGAGACAAGCCGGGTCACGACAGGGAACAGGGCATTGGAAGGGAAGAAACAAGCAAGGGTGTGATTTCAGGGGCTAGTTCATCCCAGTACCCTCTGTGAGCTCTGGAAGCTGATCCCTATGGAGCCTAGGTCCCTCTGCATCTGACCCACAGGACACTAGCTCTAATACCTTTGGTACCTGATGGGCATGGTCACCAATAGCCCACAGCAACCTCTATAGAAGGTTGTATTTGGTGCATTAAGAACAGTGTGGGAGCTCGGCAGTGATGATGCACGCCTTTAGTCCCAGCACTCAGGAGGCAGAGGCAGGCAGATCTCTGAGTTCGAGACCAGCCTGGTCTACAAGAGCTAGTTCCAGGACAGCCTCCAAAGACACAGAGAAACCTGTCTCAAAAACAAAACAAAACAGAACGAAACAGAACAGTGTGGGAAGGGGATGGCTGGAAAGACGGCTCAGTGGTTAAAGCACTTGCTACTCTTCCAGAAGGCCCAGGTTTGGTTCCTATCATCCACATGAGGTAGCTACTGCGTGTAGCCTCTTTATGTGCCTGCATGTACGTGCACACATGTACAAACAAACAAATGACAAATCTGTGTTTACAAAGAACCAAGTGAGACCAGTGAGATTGCTCACCCAGTAAAGGTGCTTATTGCAAGCCTGGCAACCTGAATTTTGTCTCAAACTACTATAAAGATAGAAGGAAAGAACTGAATATACAAAGTTGTCCTCTGCTCTCCACATGCATACATGGAACATGAGTCTCTATGCATAGTAATCACCATAATAATCAATAATAATAAAGGCTTGGCTGGGCTGTGGTGGTGCACATCTTTAATCCTAACACTAGGGAGGCAGAGGCTGGTGGACCTTATGAGTTCAAGGCCAGCCTGGTCTATGTAGCAAGTTAGTTCCAGACCACCCAGGGCTAAACAGTGAGCCCCTGTCTCAAAATAAATAATAAACAAATGCATCAAAGAACAAAGTCACAACACTTAAGTGTTCACTGGCTACAAGTAGTCTACATATTGGAAGGCATAGTTCTAGAATCTTCTCTGCCAGGTTTAGCCCCAATTACGGAAAGAGACACTTTTATTAAATCCCTAGAGTCCAGTTAGTCTGATTGCCATACTTAATGAAAGTTGACTGCTATAACACAGAAAAGAGAAGTGCAAAACTAACATCAGCCCTTTTCCTTCCAGAAAGTCCTCTTGTCCTACCCCCTGGCCATCACAATCAGCAGGGCCAGCCTCTCTCTCAGGAAGGCTGTGGGTGGGTCCTCTGTCAAGATGGAAACCCCACCATCTTGTGGAAGAAGAAGCATGACCCTCACCTCTTCCCTCTTTCTCCTCGTGTGTCCAGGATACAACTTGATTCTGTGCTTTTGTTAGACCCCCGGAAAACTCAGGTATCCGGGGTCCCAGGCCACGACCGTGGTCATACCAATCACCAGGCAGATTCGAGAGCTTGCTGCAAACTGCATGAGGCTTTTTTTTTTTTTTTAACGAGCTAACCCCATATTAGCTCGGGTCTTTTACCCACCTGCCATGGTGGATGGCTCGCAAAAGACAAGACCTAGGGCCTCCCAAGAGATCTTGTAGGGCAGCGTAAGGGGAGTGCCTAGGGGTACGAACAGGCTCACTATTGGTGTGCCTCCAGCCTTGAAGGGCTTGCCCTGTGTTGATTGGTCAACTGGTTGTTATGGCCCATAGGCCCTCCCAGGGTGGTTGCTATGCTCTGCATCATTGCTGTGTGCTTGTCCGTAAAGTACACCCAGGGTCGTAAAGCATAGCGCCACCAGCTAACTTCTGATTGGTTCCTTGTCACAAGGCAGGCATCTGACTTTCTAGTGTCTAGGACAAGGTCAGACAAGCACATGTTCGGCCGTTATGACTGCTGAAAGGGGAGCTGGTCCCTTCACTTTAATGTCATAGGCAGAGGACATCCTTGTTCTGTCTTCTTTCTCATTATCATTTGCATGAGTGCTTTGCATGTATGTCTGTGTATCGCATGCATGCAGTGCCTGCAGAGGCCAGAAGAGGAAGTTAGATCCCCGGAACTGAGTCGCAGACAGTTGTGAGCTGCCATGTAGATGCTGGGAATCTAGCCCAGGTCCTCTAGAAGAGCAGCCAATGCTCTTAACTGCTGAGCCATCTCTTTAGCCCCAAGGCCATCGTTATTACAACCTTGGTCATGGCCCAAGGGAGCCTCAACAGCCTCGGGTCCACACACCAAGACCCCTTTCTTAGGCTACTGCTCCGGAAGGGAAGATTGGATACCTCTGCCTTTCCGTTTCCTATGGATGGCAATTCCAGGCATTTAGTCCTTGCTCACAAAATACATCTAAATGAAAGAATGAAGCAT